ACAGTAGCTTGACAGATGTGTTCAATGAATCCTACAAAATACAAATAAAACAGAACACAGAGTCAGATGCTACAAATGCAATACGCATATATACAGACGGCTCAAAAACCAAAGAAGGCTCAGGATGTGGAGTGTACTTCAGATCACTAAGCCTAAGGATTTAGCCAAAGCCTCGGTAGATAATAACATTATCCTGAGGTGGGTTAGAGGGCACGACAGGAGTAAAGGTAATCGCACTGCCGACTCTTTAGCCAAGGAAGCGGCTGGACTAAGAATTTTAGGACCCAGGGGCACCTACGGCCTGATGACTTCGACAATTGTGGAACTTGCCAAATTTTACACCCATGCCCAATCCCTAAAGAGATGGGATGGCATCAAAGGATGCAATCTTGCCATAGTCACCTTGGGCGACCCTGGGAAGCTAGCGCCGAAGAAATATCTGGCGCTGACCAGGAAAAAACTACGCCTAACAGTATGATTTCTGACTGGCCACTGTCAACTAAGGAAACATCTCCATAATATGGGGCTAGTGGACACACTTCTATACAGGATGTGTGAACAGGAAGATGTGACTATCAGGCATGTCTTATGCGAGTTTTGATCAATAAGAGAGTGTGTGTTAGGCGAGTCTTGGCCTACACCTGCCGATATAAAGGAGATGTCTCCCAGTGACCTGTTCACCTTCCTAGAAAGGACAGGATGGAAGATGACCTAGGAGAACAACTCCTTGGGAGGATGTACAATGGGTCACATGTGGTCACATGTGGGCTTTTACCCATCCTCCCTACTCTACGGATACACATACAGAGATACGAGGGGGTTAAATCTGGCATGAGGTAGCAATTCAAACTTCAATTCGTCCATTTTGGTCATTGCGACAATAGATTAGTGAGCTGGTGCACTCTCTTGAAGAAACAATGATTCTTTTAGTCAAATGCGATCGTTTCTAATTGACTTCTTTACTTAAACGTTGCAATAAATTCGCATAATACTCATTGTTGGAAGTTTTGCTTTTTTTAAGATAGTCAATTGAGTTTATCCCACGCGTATTCCAAAAAATCGATGCCATGACTTTGCCTGTAGATAAAACAACTTAGTCTTCTTTGGAGCCGGTTCTTCCTTTCGATTCTACTGTTTCCTTTGTTCTTTCGTTTTGTGTGTCAAGTGATGGACCCATATTGTATCCATGTTCATGAAACGACGTAAGAATTCTGCTTTTGTTACTGTGAAACTTCGCTAAACACTTAATTGAAACATCTTTCTGTTTCCGCTCGATGTGAGCAAACGCCGCACACAGCTTTCTCATGTTGTGCTGCACTTTTTAAAATGCCTAATGAGTCTACCTCGCACCCTTTCAGTCGACGCATGGCCTCGTTTAAACTCTGCTACCCTCACTGCTGGAAATGAAGGAGCAGACTCACCCAAAGTAGAATCTAGTTCAGCTTTTATATTGGTTGAACTGGGGCCTTTCAAATTAATGTATTGTACCACATAACGATGACTAAGTTTTCCATTTTCACGTATTCTCCGAAATCGTTTGCTATTGATGACTTCCAAACAAATACTGAACAACGCAGCGTCTTCAAACTTGGAACATATGCTTTGCAGATTATGTACTTTCCAATGCAGTGATACCTCTGGGACCGCCCTCGTAAGCTGTGGTATCCCGAACGACATTCCGTATGTGAAAAGCAATTTTCTGTTTCTCAGAGCCCAAAAAGTTTTGTTTTCAGACTGTTTTTGTTGTTTTCGCTGAACTCAATTCATTGTTTTCGCTGAAACCGAAGACAATATACGAGAGAAAATATTTAAATTGTCAACTAGCACAGCACCACTAGAGACCATAACTGTACTAAAGTGTCTTTTGTGATTATCCATAACATTTCATCAACATTCCGAAATACTGTATATGTATGTATATCGAGATATGGTGAAGAGTTTTTGTTTTGATTCGTACATCCTCTGCTGTGACACATCTCGAGAGACAATAAAAAACACGTGTGCCATCGTTAAGTTGCGAAACAAACAATGTAATTTTTGTATTTTATGAAAGTAATATAAACATTTATATTTTTTTGTATTTCAACTGAAACTACATTATATTATAACAACTATGAATTGTTCTGCAAAATAGGTTTCTTCAAAACGTTAAAGTTCGTTAACTCGTTTGGGTGAAAAATTTTCCAACTATCATATTTTTTTTTAACTAAACAGAATAGGTCAAACTACATCCAACAAAATATTTACACGTTCATTGGTTCGAGACTCTTTCAGATCAACACAACAGTTTTTCAAATACTAGACAAGATCTCTCAGGTCTACAATCTATTGAAAATTATGAAACACAAATACGATCAATTTCAAATATTTGAGTGCTCTTTGAAAAATCTAGGTTATATGTTCAGAATATGTCGAAAGAAAGTAAATTGAGTCAAGTTCTTATCTAATCAATTGTACAAACTGTCGATTAACCATAGTCAACAGTCCAAACTGTTGATTGTCTATAGTCGACTGTTCAAATTGACGATTATTAACGATCGAAACTGTTAATTATCGATTAGCACTATCATCTACAGTCGATCATGGATAATCGAGATTGTCAACTATATATTATTATTATTATTATTGTGTCCCCTGAAGCCCCGATACATTCAGGAGGACGCACCAGCATCACAGTAGAATAATACAACCAGTAGGCTTTCTTACCACATGATCCGCCCTAGTTGCCGGCGACCTTCAACCGCTCAGGGCGAGATTCTCATCCAACGCGTTCAATGCTGTAATATCGAAGGATTTAACGGTACCACAGACATCAGATTAGTTATAATAAACGGTCGGAAATTGATATTGTGTTTAGTTTATTCGCTATTGTTATTATTGTTTTTAGTTTTTGTAATTAACCACAAAATATTCTATAATAACCTTAAATGTCGTTTTTATATGAGGGCACGCTTATGGTAAAAGAACGAAATTGGCTCCGCACTTCGTTTCGAGGTTACCGAAAACTAGTGAGAGTGGAATTACTGGTTGATTTTTATTATGTTAGCATTATCACCAACGACCACTCCCCACACCGTGGTCGTTGGGTCCGAGAATCATACGCCATAATCGACATTTCAAACAGGAGAGGAACTACAGTAAACTGTGTCATTTATATTTGAAGAAACCAACGGCTAACGATAAATTAGCTCTACACCAAGTACCAGCTGATGGATGAGTCAAATGCAGATAATCAACTCCATACAAAGTGCGGCTAGTAAATGAAGGAACTGGTTTTCTGTGAGACAAACGGAGCGAGCCAAAAGATCAAATGCTATATTCTAGCCGGTTGGACGACAATAGCTTAATAATTTGGACCACAGCCTTTGTTCATGTCGGATCGTATGTACATAGCTCATTGAAAAAATGGTAGGCGTTTCAATTCAACAAAGTGCCAAGTTAAACTTTTCACAACAAGTTTGTGGCGATCCCACTGGCACTAGTTTTTGTAGATTAAGATATTGTTCTTAAGTTTCAGTTTGGGCTTTCTATCAATGAGAGGGTACAGATTTATCATCCGTCCCTGTATCTTTGTCTTCGCGCCCTTAACGTGCGGGGTCTAGTTGATTCTTCATTCTATCAGAAGACAGAGGTACTTTACCCGCGCTTCCAGATATCCTCACTTTCATGGCCGGAGAAGATATCGTTCTTCCCATGAATATTGCCTGACTTAATTCGGGTTCACTAGGATCTTTCAATCGAGGTAACAGCGGTCGAGGTCTTCCAATGCACGTTGCATATAGACGACTCCGAGCCCACGACCCATGGAAGAGGCAAGGAGAGCTGTATCGTCAGCGTACATGAATGTATTCACACACTCGGACCTTAGGGAGGTCGCTGGTGTGAAGTGAGTATAGTGTAGGAGAGAGCACGGCTTTCTGTGGCACTCCAGCGAGGATATCCCTGTTGTCGAACAGGGTGCCCTCTATTCTCACCTGAAAAGTCCTGTCCCTCAGAAAGGACCAGATCCCAACGAGTCTATAAAGAAGGTTTTCGTGCCAGACAAGGTCGAATACCTTCGAAGTGTCTAAGAGTACTAGGTGAACTTTTTATTATTGTTGAGCTCCTTGATGGTGTTTTCGACCAGTCTCAGAGCCTGTAAGTCAGTGAAGTGTTCTCTCCGAAAACTGAATTGCTCTTCAGGTAGAACATTTCGCTCCTTGACTTCTTCGTTGAACCTTTGCAGAACTACTCTTTAACCCCGCTTAACTTAACCACCGAGGAGAGCAGACTGATCGGGCGATAGTTCTGTGGGAACAACGGATCCTGAT